ATCTATCTATCTATCTATCTATCTATCTATCTATCTATCTATCTATCTATCTATCTATCTATCTATCTATCTATCTATCAAGTCATATATTGAAAACCAAGAAACACCCCTGGAAGAGGCAAACCATCATGGTCTAGACAGAACAGAGCATATGGAAATGTAGTTATTCTGCACTTCTCTGATGAGGTTCACCTGCACTTCTCTGATGAGGCTATGAAATGTAATCTTGCTATGATCTAGGGTTTGTGAATCAAGCCAACTCTGGTTTATTCAATAAATGTTGCTTAAGCAAGTTTTGTTACAAGAATGCATTAACCTGGTTACTGAGTACTTAGTAACATTCCTGAAGGTTTGATTTTTTTTTTTTTTAACAATTACTATTTCGAGTATCTTTTTGCAGACTCAGAAGAAAAAATCTCACCGAAACAGGAATCCATCATTTATCTTGAAAAAAGTCTATCCAGTCATGTTGGAAGTGTACTGTTTATATAATAAACTCTCTAACAGGTATCAGTTTATCTCCCTAACTCCCTAATCTCCCAAGAATCCACAATTATATTGGTTACTTATATAAAGTTATTTAGAATATATAGGTGAGCCAGTTTGATGTAGTGGTTAAGGCATCAGGCTAGAAACTGGGAGACCGTGAGTTCTAGTCTCGCCTTAGGCATGAAGTACCTTGGGCCAGTCACTCTCAGCCCCAGGAACGAGGCAATGGCAAACCACTTTTGAAAAAAAAACTTGCCAAGAAAACTGCAGGAACTAATTCAGACAGTTGCCAGGAGTCAAGACTGACTCAAAGGAACTCTCTCTCTCTATATATATATATGTGTGTGTGTGTGTGTGTGTGTGTATGTATATGTATATGTATATGTTATTTAGAATGTGCTCCCAGCTTTGAAAATTCTCTCAAGTCTGTAACAATCCAGTATAAGATCTAGGGGAATGACTTTATTCTTTCTGTCAGCATTCAGTGGGTTAAGAATAAATAGATTTTGATTTATTACTTGCCCTGAATCTTTTAGTGCCAGGGTATACTGAATAACAATATAATAAATAAAAATTGATACCTGCAGCCAAAAGGTCTTACAGCACTGTAGAGAGTATAGGCATGTACATACATAGCCACTCTATCTGCAAGATGCTATAGGGAGAAAGGAAAATAATTTTAGAGCACTGGAAGTAATATTTCCACTTAAAATAGAACTGAGGTAAGCTTGAGCTATATTTCAGCAGGGACAAGTATTGAGCCACAAGGTCACCCACTCAGCCCTACCCTCTGTGTCATGCAGATGGGGAGGCATCAAGAGATTTTATTTTGCTTTTTGCAGCTTGTCATGCTATCTAAAATAACATACTGATTAAAATTAACTATAGTTAATTTCAAAACAAGACAACATCAAGCCATGGATTATAAATTTGGCTGCAGATTAGAGTTAGACACAATTCTGGTTTGGTAATACATAATAAAGTATGATTAACTAAAAGTTCAACTGGAAGTTTCTAAACTCATTTCAACAAACCTGGGATTTAATATGAGATGAATGTGACTTATGTGTTTCTTGTTCTGATAAATAGTAACAATGATAAAACAATGACCTACTTTTAATGGAATATTATAACCATAGTTGGATCTAAAGTTAGAAGCTTCTTCCCTTGCTATGTCAGCCAAAGATCGCGCATCAGCGAGGAGTCCTGCTACTGCCTGAAATATAGAACAACATTTCAGAACCTAATCAAACAGGAATTTGAAACTCAACATGCCAATCTCTACACCTCATTCTGGCATTATCCTTTATATCAGGAATGTGATTGCCAGGCACATGTTTTGAGAACTGGATAAACCAGTACTTCTGCCCCTACAAGATGAAGCCCCAATTGCTTCCTGGTTACAAGTTGAAAGTTACAAGTTGATTATCCAAGACACAGTTTAATTATAGGATTATTTCTATTAAACCTTGAGTTAGGTCTCCCATGAATCAAGCTTGACTTCTTGTGACTACATGGATATATCTATGTTGTTTTCTTGGCAACAGTACAGAAGTCGTTTACAGATGTAGCAGCATTTTTTAAAATTTCCCAATCTACCAGGAAACCAAGGTTCAACTCTGCCTAGCTTTTCAAAATCAGCCAAGATCAGTTAGGTGCTGGCACTTAGCCACATACTAAATAATAAGTAAATACCAACTCACCATTCCCACATGTCGATCAACATTAAACAAACGTTTATTGGATCCTTCCTCATACAGTTTGGACAGGACTAGTTTTTCTACTCCAAAGACAACACCATCTTTACACCGTATCCCAATTGCTGTACTGGAGAGAAAATGGAGCATAATAATCAATTAACAGGATTTATTTGTAGATTTTTCAATCACATATAATATGCTTTATTGCATTTAGTTTGCTATAATTTGTACACAGAATTTCTACCAGCTAGGTTTCATGGCCAAAATGCCCTCTTCTAACTCTTTAATTCTGTCATGTCTGGGGATGCTCCAATAACCTAATAGAAAGAAAACTACTATAAAGAAATCCATTTGATTTTAAAAGCCAAATCTAAAATAATGAGATCCTACCAATGATTAGTAACTAACTCTGCTTAAGGAAAACAGTCTCAAATAATTAAAAAAAAATTGAACTACTGGATAAAACATATATATTTTACTTTTAAAATATGTATAGTTACAGGTTAGGTAATAAACATTGCTTCTCTGTTAATTCTTCTGGGCAAATCAAGTTTTAAATTATTTTTCACAATAGTACAGGATTACCCCATAAGGAAGGAGATACAGGTAGTCCCCAATTTAAGAACAAGTTCTGTTCCCAAGGTCTGCCCTTAAGTCGAATTTGTATGTAAGCCGGAACAGTATTATTGCATAGTACTGAATAAGTAGTGTGTAATGAACTCAAACCATTCCGTATTTAACTCAAATCATTGTGTATTTAAATCAAATTTCACTACAATAGGCTCCATTCTTAACTATGGATCATCTGTAAACCAGGCGTTCTTAACCCGGGGACTACCTGTATATAACAAACAGATACATCAAAAATCATTCTCATGAGCAATTCAGTATTACAAATTACAAGTTAAATTCTGGAACACCCATGTGCCTTTTGTTTCAGTTTGAAAAATTACAATAGCAAAACCAATGTCCCACCCACAGACCACCTACAAACAACACTGGTGCTCTAACACAATGCAATCTTGTTCTTAATTTATTTTAAGATTGTTCGCTCTAACATAATGCAATCTTGTTTTTAATTTATTTTAAGATTGCTCACTCCCCAGAGTCATTTGCTGAGGTGGGTGGCCATACAAATTGAATAAAAATCTTTCTGCAATCATGGACCTCTAAATAAATATATGTAAAATGTGGGGACCAAATAAACAGGTACCCCCTCCCCATGTATTCATCTTTAAGGGTGTGGGAGCTCACATTCTTTGGTGAATTAAGATAATAATTATGGTTGCACTTATATATGTCTTCCCATCCCCTCCACTTTAAAAGGTGTTTTAAAATTTAATTTTGTAACAACAATGTAATCCAATTTAAATATATATTTATCAATCAAATTATTTTATGTACCATGTGCTAACTCGTAGCAGAAGCTTGATGATAAGGAATATTCTTCAATAGAAATTTCTGAGTACTATAGGGTAGAAGTGAGTGAAACCTCTGCCCAATGAAATCCTATTTTCAATTATCCATTCTTGTAAACCAGCTGATTGTTGAGGCACATGGGATGCCAGAGACCGAGGCAGTAAGGAGACTCTAACCAGCTAACTTCTGTTATGTGCTGGCAAGTTTTTTCTAACATTCAATCAGAATGTAACTTGAATTCATTATTGAATATATTCATTATTCATTACTCCACTGTGAGATGGCAAAGAAGAGGCATTGACTTTCTTTTGTTTGAAATCCTTAGAAATATTTAAATATCATATTCTACTCTACCCTCTCAAGTTTCCTAAGGCTAAGCATTCCCAATTCCTTTCATCTTTCTTAGTAAAATGTACTTTCAGTTCCCTAAGATACTACTGAAGCAAGATTAAGATCTAACAACCCTATTAAGTGAGGAGAATAATCCATTTGGTAGAATTCCCACTTTCTCTAACACTTCACATTTTAACTATTACTAATATAACACAAGTTAAAGCTTGCATACTATGTACTTTATCCCATTAAAAAATAGCCTTTCAATAACAGGAAAGCAGTAGAAGTGAAACATTACTATTATTCTGGTAGAAATTTGATAAACAGATTTTAACAATGTTGAAACAGCTTGGAAAGGCAACTTCTTTTATCAATGTGTGACTTCTTTTTCAAAAATACTAGGAGAATTGTATAGCCACAGGTTGTAACTTTACACAAAGCTAACTTGCATATAATGCTCTTTTTTGCAAGTAGGTTCCATCAGAAATTAATTTTACCTACTCTAATTGTGACTTGTATAGGTCAAAGAGAAACACAAATAAATCCTGCTTATGCTGTCAGGTTCAGCCCAAGAAACTCCACGAGATGGTTCTGGAATTGCTTAGTTACTTTATTAGCTTACACCTGCTAGACAGAATCTCACC